CAAACCAAACGAACTTGATTGCAGGAAGGATATTCATTTATCTTGCCAATGACTCTGTTATTGTCTAGACCTGCAATCGGATATTTATATATTCATGCCTGACTGTGTTTGCATATACATACATATCTGGTATGCCTGTTAAGTATGTAAAAACTTTACTTCTGTTTTCTGTGTGGAATGAAAACGAATGAAGAGATGGATATTATGCTTACATTGATCCTGTTTGCGCAAGGTTATTTTGGCTGTGCTTTTATACTCCATCGGTTTACCTTTCTTATCTGATTTATTAACTGAATGTTTATGCTGTTTCACCAGATTTCAAACTTCGTCATAGGCCTCTATTTCTTGAGCTTTGTAACCAAGTTCGGGATCAGCTCAGTGTATCTTGGATTTGCTGGTGTCTGTCTTCTTGCTGTCTTGTACATAGCTGGTAATATTGTTGAAACGAAAGGGCGGTCATTGGAGGAAATAGAGCGTGCTCTTAGCGTCTCAACTTGATTATGATATGACTCAAACTACATGTAAAAATCTCACAACAGCTTTGGATTTTGGCCGAAGCATAGGCACCGTCACTCCTTTTCATGCTATGTGGACTAGGTCATTTCCACCTCTCGGGGTCTTGTATTTAGAGATTGAACTTTTGATTGTAACCGGATAAAATGGTGTCTATGGAATTCCATAGCTGTGCACAATACTACTCGGTGATGAGTGCTATGTGAATAAAATATCTTAGTATCTACCGTGAATTTTGATACTGTTCTTAATTTGTTGTCAGATTGAATGACTTGTGTACAGGACCTTAAATGGTGTTCAGCCAAATAGGCCCAATATTTTTTTTATGTTATGATTTGGAAGATTCCACAAAAAAAATGTTCCGGTATTGGCTGAACACCAAAAAAAGATCGTGTTGGGAGCAAGTGCTTGGAAACTTTTATGCGTTTGCCATAAAAGAATGTTGGGCCTATTTGGTTTTGTTTTCAGATTACTAGGCCTATTTAGTTACTGTTTTTGAGCTTGTTTGGTAACCATTTGAGTTTTTAAATTTTCAGTTTTTAGTCTTTTTGTTTTCAAATACCCAAAAAAATAAAAAAAATAAAAAACCAAAAATAAAAAATGGTTACCAAATATGTTTTTTATTATTTTATTTTTCACTATAAGAAAAATAATAAATTATCTTATGTATATCCACATTAGAAACTAAGGTTTAACTGTTACAAAATTACCTTTAAAAAACTATAATACCTTGGGTTGTATCAAATCGAGAGAGATAACGAACAAAAAAATAGCAACTTGTTCTTGGATTATGACATATCTAGAGGCTCTCAAGTTAGTATTAGTTCATAACTAGCAAAAAAATAGCAACTTGTTCTTGGATTATGACATATCTAGAGGCTCTCAAGTTAGCATTAGTTCATAACTCTTCGCAAAATGTTATGTATATATTGATGTTCCATTCTAAGAGCACTTCCACCAGTTAGCCCCTTGCCATGGCAAGGGGAGTCCTAGGGCAGCTACTATTCACGTGAATAGTGGCTGCCCTATCCTCCTTTAGCAAAGTGTGCTTCCAGCAGTTTAGGCTTGCCATGACAAATACTATTCATTTTTTTTGTTTTTTTCACAACTTTGTTTACTTAAACAATTAATTTGTATAACATTTTCGGATAAGATTTTTGGGTTCCTACGTATGAAAAATCATTTTCTCAAGATTTTTAGCGGAGGTGCAATATTGACTAAGTATGAAAAATGGTTTTTTGAAATAATCATTTTCTCAAGAAAATTTTTGGCGGCTTTTATTCCTTACACATCAAATAAGAAAACTTGATTTTATGGGATTTTAATATGAAGTATATATTGACTTAATGAGCCATCATTTTTAGCCTAAATCGTATTTTGCACTAAAACCGATTTTTCATATTTTGATTTGGTGGGAATTTGAATTTCTAGTATTTTTATTTGAATCCAAATGGGAGGGTACTTCCTTATTTACATTGTAAACTTAAGTAAATGGAGCAATATAAAAATAAATAAAAGTAAAAGGACAAAGACATTTACTTAAATGTTGAAAATGGAAATAAGGTATAGAGAGAAAATAAATAAATAATTTTTTGGTATTTTTTATTACAAAAATATTGGTTGTTGGTGTTAAAAGTGAAGAGTATTGGTTGGTATTTATAGAAAACAATTTCAGTATTTTTTAGGTATTTTTTTTACATTTTTTTCTATTTTTTTCTATTTTTTTATTAGGAACAATGGGGGTGACGTCATTGTGACATCAGCTCAGCCCGCAGGCAAGCACTCAGGCCCAACCCCACCTCGGGCCAGCCCAGGCTGCTGGCCCCCACCTCTTGCCTGGGCTCCATTTTGTTGCTGGAAACGCCTACAGTACCCAAACCCCCCCTCCCCCCCAGCCCGAGCCCAGCCTGCATTGCTGGAAATGCTCTAAAAGGCTCATAACCTAAATGTTCGTAGAAATGTCACCTAAATTTTTACTGCAGTTTTAATTTGTCACCTTAAAGAAAAATTTATGAGAAATGTCATCTTAATTTTTCAAAATCCATGATTTGTTACCTTCCCCCATGCCATGTGCATCACCAGTGGCTCTAGCCAACCCCACTCACCTTGAAATTCATTCCCCCTTCGATGTGTTTTGGAGGTAGGTGGGGTTGGAGTAGGGGAGAAAGGGAGAGAAGTCTCTTTTTTCTCTCTTTTTTTTTCCTTGAAAATGAAAAGTCTAAAATACCCTTAAAATGGATGGAAAACTGAATGTTATTAAAGTCAGATGACAAATAATGAATTTTGAAAAATTAAGGTGACATTTCTATGAAAATTCCTATAATCTACTTTCATGTTTTGGTTGATTCTAAAACATAATCATGACTAGGTGACTCTTGGTTGCGTTTGAAGGTCATGGAGTTGGGTCTGAGGATCACTGGGTCAATTCAAGTTCAATGGTGCCCAAATCTAGTCCGAAAATTGCTGGAAAGGTGTGTGGGTCACTAGGTTGGCTTGGAAATCACTCATTTGGGTTCAAATGTCATCAGATTGGACAGTGGGTCAATAGGGTTGGGTCTAGTTGTTGTTACGTTAGGTCCAGTTGCTAAAAGGCTAGGTTAGCGGGTCACGAAGTCGGGCCTAAGGGGATGAGTTTGAGTGTTAAAATTAGTTTGTGGTCGCTGATGTTTTAGTGTCATGTAGGTGTAACAAGTGGGCTCACTTTTTCAAGGTAGCAAGTCCCAGTTATAGTCTAAAATATCGATAATATCGACGAAATATTGAGGATATTATCGTTTTTTCAAGTCACGGATATTTCGGAACGTATCCATACACATATCGTATAAATATTGATAATATCGATGTAATGGAAAGAAAGAAAAACAAACACAAAGCACACACCCAAAGGTACCCCAACTCCTCAAGAACCATATTGCTCGTGTTTTTGTGATAATATGCTAAAATATGTATATTTATATTGTTTTGTTTTGAACTGTTTTTGTAATAATTAGATTTTCACAAGAGAATGTGAGTCTTTGACCTTTCCTTTTGGGATGAAATTGAGCGGCTCATGGAAAGAATTCGAGACCCCATCTTCAAATGATTTTGCTTATGGACAACGTCAACCAATCTCGGATCCATATGGGTGACATGTTAACAATTAAATGGAAAATTATTTTGGGGATTTATCATTTGATGACTACTCACAATACACTTATTCTACCACATAGAGATGATGAAGATACTGAAAAATTTGAACCTCATAGTCACTCATGTATCTTATCATGCAATATATAAAGTGTAAAATATTGTAGTAAATCATTATATATAAATGATTATGGTGTGTTTAATCTTCTTTCTTTAATTACTTTATATTTTCTATACTCACAGTGTTTGTTAGCTCGCTATATAATCAACTTAAATCAGTTAAACCCATCATGCAATAAATTTCCTTCCAATTTTTTGTGATAGACTAATAGATAATTGACTAAATAAACATCCTCCAAAGTTTCAATAAAAATTTCCAAGTTTTTCTTACAATTTCCGTAGTTTTTATTCAATTTTTATCGATATCAATAATATCCCGATATATTTATCAAAATTTGTTTAAGGACTACCAATATTTCCGATACCATTGATAATTTAGACCTTGGTCCCAGCTCATAGTTTCAATTTTGACTTAGTTGAGTTATGCAACTTTGAAGTAACACCTATTTTGACGAAACTTAACAATGTAATTTTTCGAGTTCATAGAATGAAAGTTCATGTTACAGGAAGTGTATGTTGGAAATAATGACAATATCAGAAGGCAACAAAAAAGAAATGATTTGTTTGGTGTAGTCTATGAAGATTGCCAATGGAGGTATAAATTCATCTTTGCTTGGTGTAGTCTACGATGATTGACAAAGGTCTGAATTCAGTTTTGCTTGGTGTATTTTAGGAAGATTGCGAAGGAGGTGTTTTCGTGGTTCCAAATCCAAAGTGCGTCCTTCTCACATGTACCTCGTGCTTGCATTGCAATAGCGTCTCTCGTAGGTTTAAGCACGTTTTGGCCTTTGAGCCAAGCCAAGTAACTACTAATGAGCTATTCAACTTCAATGCTTTCAAATAGTGAAGCTTCTCAGATGTGAATCTTACTCAATCAAATTGGGCTGACTCTGTTCATGTACAACAAAGGCCTCTTTTTTCTTTGGACGAATATAGCAACAAACCAGTCAAAAGTTTTATAGGTAAATATCATTCACTCTGGCCATGTTCAACATATTTGCACCAAAAGTGTATAAAGCTGGAAACATAACGAATTATACCAGCAAAACATTTTACTTACAATGAAAACACACAAAACATATTCGGAAATAGTCTGATTCAATTACAAAAATGCCAGAAAAAGTCACCAAATGAGTTTTCAATCCAACATATGCAGCTAGTGGAGACAAACATGATTGGTTTGAGCTAATCATATTTCAAAATGATTCATACACAGTCTAACAATGTTAGAAATCACAAAATAAAATAGTCATCAGTTCTTTTTTTCTTTATAAAATTTTCGTTTGGTCATTTCATGTTTTCTACCTTATACAGTGCACAAGAAATACAGGAATGAAGTGTTTGATAGAGAAGTTGAACATTTACCCCAACATTATAACTAACATTTGCAAGGTAGATGCTCTCTACCAATAAAAAACTAATCACCTAGGTTAAGCAATCACCTTGCAGCCAAATCTTCTGAAATCAAGGGACAAATTTTAGAACCTTTTGGAAACCAGCACTCAGGGGAACCATATTTCATCTTCATGGCAATATTTACATGTTTGCTTTCCTTTCCCACCTTTCCTTTGTGTCCAGCCTAACAAAATAGTAACAATAGATTAAAAAAGTACAGTATATAAATTAAAACAATAAATAAATAATGCAACACTACAATGATTGGAATGTTCATTATGAGCCGAACAGATCATCTCAAAGCTATCTTCCTATGTTTCCAGTCATACATATGACATAAAATACAGGGGTGCACAATACGCAGGATGCACACACATAGAAGCATGTGCGTGCACATACACAGGCCATGGACATATAGAATGCTAGGCGTACCATCTTTTGGTACAACATTTTCATACCACTTAATGTGGCATCAGACTTGTGCATGCCACATCAACTAATGATTCCAACTTTATTTAAATTTTTATTCACTGGAGAAGCTGTTTTAGCTTCTCCCTCCTCCCTAGCTGAAAAACTTCCCATCACAGGCAGATATAGCATCATCAATCACCGGTGAAAAATTGACCATGCATTCTAGATCTGGATTCTGGTACACTCCTTGTTTCTCCAGTCAGATGGCTCCTATCAGCAATGGTTTATTTGAAAGGGTTAAGACTCAGGAACTATATATCGAAGGATTCTCCCATCTCGAGCACAAAGGGAGGATGGAAGTGTAAAGATAAGAAGATGACGTTTGGCCAGTGGGTGAGGAGTCACAGAAAGAAGATGCCAGTGTAAAGATAAGAAGATGAAAAGGCTCAAAATATTGTTGGAGTCCTTAGCTGATGTGGGATGTACAAGTCAGATGACACATCAGCTGGTATAAAAATGTGGTACCAAAAGATGGTACACCTAGATATTACTCATGGACATATGTGTGCACACCCACACCCCACACACACACAACTGATACATGCATACGGCCACACACAGAAGAAGCTGCTGTAAAATTGTTGAGTAAGTTACCCAAAATTTCACCAGTTTTCCCCCTCCAAATATGGTGATTTTCTATTTAATCTTTGTTTTTCGCACAAGAGATATATTGTCTCTTTCAAACTTCAAGCAAAAATCACAGCAATTGGGGAATAAATTGGTGACTTCACATCCATGCAACGAGCATTTCTAATATCTACAGGTGTGCAGTGTTCTACAGATGTGCCACAGAAGTCCCATAATATTAGTATCTAGGCATGCATACTTTCAGCTAACTAAGTAGGCATATCATACCCCCAATGCAACTTCTGCCGCTTCTGTGGTGCATGATAGGTTGCTATGCCTTCTTGCTGTACAAGGGAACTGCTTTCTTTCTGGTGGCTCTCAGAGTTAAAGTTAGTTGAATTTTCAATTGGTACAGTTGAATCTTGGTTTGCTGAGTGTTTGGCATTCAGGCCTTTGCTGTGAGACTTTCCAGTACCACCTGTGAATCACTTGAAGATTATACAGAAAACAAAAAACATACACGAAAGAAAACGAACATAACCAAGGAAACCAAGGAACCTTTTGGTTTCTTTTCAATCTTTGATGTTGATTTTATCTGTAAACGTCTCCTGTGCAGTTCCTATAAGATTCAAGAGTTTAAGACTTCATATGTAATTAAAGCATTGAATGGAGAAAACCAAAAAGATAATCGATGGGCTTACGATGTTCATTCACAAAAGAAATCGTAAACTACGCGAATTTTTTCCAGACATCTCCAGAACGAAAGCATGATAGCTTTCTTTTGGAAGTGGACTCCTTGTTCACTTTTGTTGCCCTGTTGTATTTTTAATAAAGTTTCACGTTTCTTATCGAAATCAACATTTCCATATTCCTAAGCAATGACCAGCATTTGAATTCTAAACTCACCCACTTGCATGGTCTTAGAAATACTATAAGAATCAGTCCTAGGCCCTCTATAAGTTTCCCACCCTTGTCCAGAGGTGTGTATTTGATGAAGCTTATAACATATTCAAAAGTCATTAAATCAGCAATACCCCTGTTAAAACTCCATAAGATCTTAGAACTAGTCACAGCTACAAGAACCCAATTGAACGGATTGTTCAAAAAGTTGAAGGATGGATCAAAATATGCACAAACAAATCAGCAACCATGTGAAAGACCCAAATACAAAAAATTGGTAATTTATGGTTCTGGATGAGAATCATTCAAAAACAAGTTTTTCTATTTCCTTATTATCCAATGTTTAAGCTTTAGGTAGCTTTAGGTAGCACAGAAAGATTTCAATTTCCGTAGAGATATGAGGTGGTAAGAGTACCTGGAACTTGGAAAGCTGGTCTTGGGTGATGCGTCTGGGCTTGTAATTGGGCTGTAAACATGGCGTTGATGCTATTGCTGCTTCCTTTCTCTCATCTTCCTTGTCTGGTTCCTTGCCCATGTCCTCTGTTTTCCTACTCTTCCTTATTTTCCTTCTTTCCCCTTTCTCTATTTACGGATGCCCACCCGCGTAATCGGAGTACTTGTTTGTTTTTACGGTCAAGGTGTTTCCATTACTCATAAACAGAATATTACAAAAAGCCCAATAAAAAAAAATAAAGTAGCCGAGGCCAATATCATTAAAATAAAACAAAACAAAACAAAACAAAACAAAACAAACTGAAACTAAGCCCAAAATCACTACAAACCCTAACCTATCTAATAAGGGGGTCAAATAAGGTCATCTTTAACCATCGGCCGCTGCCATTGCTGCCGCCGCCAATATCATCACCACCATGACAACCACCCGACCTGCTCACTTCATTCCCCCAACTTTTTATTTTTATTTTTAAACTTTCCTAAGGTCGAATATAGTGTAAGTTACCAACTAGATCTTTATTTAATGGTATTATCTTTTCAATATTGCATGATTCTAAATTAGTTGTCCTCCCAAAATGATTAAAACAAAAATAATTTTAAAAAAGCTCAAAATTATTATTATTATCGACTCTAATCCAAAGAGTTCCAACTTTTGCACCCTCGAGTTAAATCCGACATCCAATTTGAAAGTTATACAAAAGTTTAAATCGGATTGAAATGTATATTAAAAATTCTGAGAATTTCAATTTATGTAGTATATATGGTTTTAAAGCTTGAAAGATTGACCATGTCTAAATTCATGTTCAAAGATGATTTATTCCATGAAAACTAATAAAATTTGATGGCAGGTGAGTACTATTCTCACATCACTAGCAGATCCACAACCTTTTTTCTCTTGTACAACGAATTCATTGGCTTCCTTATATGCGCTCTACTAGTTTATTAGAATAACCTTTAGGATGTTAACAGAGAATGTCAACGGGGTTTAGTCTAATGAAAAAATATATTGACTTGTAGTGTGTAGTTTAGACTATCTCTTGTATTCAAAAGAATAACCTTTAGGATTTCATTATTGGTTTTCACCTTTTAGTCCTTTTTAAATTTTCAAAATTTCAGAATTATTTTTAAATTTTTTTTGAAATACTTTTGAAATTTGAAAAAAGAAAATCCCTAATTTTCTGAATTGAAATGGATATTGAAATTTTCTAAATCGAAATAGATGTTTAAATTCTAACAAATTATGAAACAAAATTGGGAGACAATTTTCATTGCAAATTTTTTTGAATTGTAATTGGAATGGAAACCCCCTAATTTTAATCCAATCTATCCGAAGATGAGGCCACACTTCAATATATTGATTCATTGATTGGTAGTTTTTGCTCATTTTAAATTGCTTTATCCTTTACTGGATGTTTTGTATGAGTAACAAACAAGAGTTTAGCCAGCATTTTCTATTGACATGTATATCATTATCGATTCAATTTTCTATTACACTTGCTATTTTGACTAAAAGTTTTGAGAAGCACTTGGATTTTGGAGATGCAAATAGGACCTAATTGTTACTTTTGTATGTAACTTTTTTATTTTTCTCTACACTTTTGTTACATATTCATTCAATAGGTCCTTGCCCAATGCAAAGATTTCCGAGTGCAAAGATTGCCAAACTCTATACTTGCTCGAGATTGGAGATGTGAACTCACTACTATGTTTCACTATTTGCGCGACGAAGACAAATTTGTCGTGCCAATCACCCTTGCGCGACAAAGTATACCACACTAGCACAAAATCGAGCGACGACAAAATTTCGTCTCACAAAAAGACTTAGCACAACAAAAAACTATATTGTCGCAAAAAGCTAGGGAAAAAACCCAGGAACCTTTTTTTTTTGGCGCCAAAGCCTTGCGCGATGACAATTGTTGTTGCAAGAGATAGCTTTGCGCGACAAAATTCTTGGCGTCGTGAAAAAAAAAAAGCGAGAAGAAAAACGCGGGTTTTAGGTATTGGTGCCAAATTCTTGCACGACGAGATATTTTATTTTGTCGCGCGTACTCTTTGACGACAAATAATTTTCGTCGCGTTAAAAAACATTCCAATATCTTGCGCGACGACATATTTCGCGACGACAGGATGAGTTGGCGCTACAAATACTTGAGGGACGAAAAATATTCTTGTCGTAGCGCAAAGTTTGATGTCGGCACAACCTTGCGAGACGAAAACTATAATTGCGCAACAAATTTTCGCACAATGATGCAATTCTTTTTGTCGCGCAAATTGTTATGTTTTTGCGCGACGACTGTTTTGTTTAGCAAATCTTCATCCTTTACATCATCGGTTTCAGCCATTGCAGAGGCAAACTGCAAAAAAAATTGCAACTTGCCTCTACCTCTCTCTTGAACGATTTCGGCAAACAAAACTCGTCAATTTCATTTCGTTTATGAGTTGAACTACCTCTGCTTCTGCTACGTTCGTTGGGTATGTATTTTTTGTCGTTAGTGTAAAAGTTTTAATGTAAATTTATACTGACACCATAAATTTCGTTGTCTATAGGGATATTATATGTGATTAGCGATTACTGGAGAACGATTGATAAGGTATTTTCATCATTTTATAATTTAAAAATATATAATTAATTACATTATGTTTAAATTTTTTTTGTGAAATTATATTTATGTTATGTTGTTAAATTTATGCACGTTGATATACGAAGTTTATTGAAATTAACTTAGTACATTTTTTTTTAAAGTCAAACTTAGTTTCCCGTTTGAGGTTAGTTGAATATCGCGCATGGATGCAAAAGCATGACTGCGGTCCAATTAATTCTTGAATTGTCCCATTATTTGGACAGTTTGGGAATGCATGGTCGTGTCACGTAATTTACGGCTACATTATTAGGTTTCAATTGTGGAGATTTCGATGTCATCTCGGTACGTTATTCGGGTAGTATGTAGGTATTTTATACCTATAGTACACCTCAAGAACTGTGTCAAGATGCTGCCGAAATTCATCCACGTCGAAATCTAATCTCATATAGCCGTAAATTATGTGATATGACTATGCATTCTCAAATGGGATAGGGCCCTCACCGGAGGCATAAGGTGACATTATGATTTTATATGAATACAACATGATTGTTGTATTGTGATTGTGGTTGCAGGAATTATGAGCAGGAGGTGGATACAGAACCCGAATAGGTGCGTAGATGAATATTTGGATGGAATCGAGGATTATATTGACTTTGCACGAACACACAACCCGGGTGCAACTAGAATCCGTTGTCCTAGTCAGAGGTGTAACAACACGTTATGGGAGACAATTGAAAATGTTCAATTTCATTTAGTAAGGAATGGAATGATTGAGACATACAACACTTGGACCTATCACGGGGAACAATTAGACATTGCTTCGTCTTCAAGGGCCACAAGAGTGGAGAATGTTGAACCTATTATGGATCCTAGTGAACAAGTCATGGATATTATAAATAATGCTTTTTCATTTGCATCGACCAGCAGCAATCAGGAAGGGGAAGATGACGTGCCTACATCAATGGACAGTGCAGAGTTTGAACAGTATGAAAAACTGTTACAAAATGCCAACCAAAAGTTATACCCAAGGTGCGAGAACTTTTCTATTCTGACGGCCATTGTGGAGCTAATGCACAGAAAAATAAAGTATCGTATGTCGAATCTGTGTTTCGATTACTTTTTAGGGGTTTTTAAGAGATGCTTCCGACGGACAATTGTTTACCGAAAGACCACCGACAGGCGCATAAGGTGTTGAATGGTCTTGGATTGGGTTATGAAAAAATTCACGTTTGCAAAAACAATTGCATATTATTCTACAAAGAGTATGAAACATTGGATACATGCTTTATATGCAATGAGTCGAGGTTCAAAAAAACATCTCAGAATAGAATGACTAAGATCCCACAAAAAGTCATGCATTATCTACCCTTGAAACCTAGGTTGCAGCGATTGTATATGTCGACACATACTGCCATATATATGAGATGGCATAAGGAAAAACGGGTAGATGACGATGTGATGCGGCATTCTGCAGATGGGAAAGCATGAAAAAAGTTCGATCGAATGTTCCCCGAGTTTGCTGCTGATCCCCGAAATGTTAGATTGGGACTTGCCACTGACGGATTCAATTCGTACAGGGTTCTAAACCAACACCACAATACTTGGCCGATTTTCGTATTCCCATATAATTTGCCGTCTTTGAAGTGCATGAAAAAAGAATATATGATGACGACTGTTTTGATAACTGAGGATCCCGGCATGTCAATCGATGTTTACTTACGGCCGTTGGTTGATGAGCTCAAGGATGTATGGACAAACGGTGTGCGTACGTACGATAAATTCACTAGGAAGATGTTCACTTTGAGGGCAACAGTTATGTGGACTGTGAATGATTTTCCGGCATATGCAATGGTTTCTAGGTGAAGCATGAAGGGTTATATGGGATGCCCTGTATGCAAGGAAGATGTGACTTCTAGTTAGCACGCTGGAAAAGTTTGTTACCTTGGTCATCGGAGAAGGTTGGCATGGGACCACGAGTGGTGGGAAAAGGATAAAGAGTTCAACGGGAAGAAAGAGCATGGCCTCAGACCTAGAGAATGGTCCGGTGATGAAATCTTAGAACAACTTAACCGTTTGGGTTTTGCTCCGTTTGGCAAAACAGTTAATCGGACCAGACCTGCTACACATATGAATTGGATGCACATGCCTATGTTTTTTGAGCTTCCATATTGGTCGAAACTAACATTGAGGCACAATTTCGACGTTATGCATGTTGAGAAAAATGTCTTTGACATATTGATGGGCACGATTCTATTTCGTATCGGTTTTCCATAGAAGGTGAAACAAAAAATTTCTAGTCTGCTATTGATTTTCATCCGTAAAGAAATCCCAAACCCAAGTTGATTAAACGGATGTAATTAATGCACTCAAACTGCCTTCCAAAACCAGATAATTAGAAACCTCCAAAAGATGACAATTTCCAGGCTAGCTAGTTTCAATTAATTATAATTAAACCCTAATTACCTGCACAAAGGAGAAAAGTCCTCTCAAACTAGAGGAGAAAGAAACGTATACTGACAGAAAACTGAAGAAGAAGAAGAAGAAGAAAGTGGAAGGGCAATTACTTCAATAAAATCCAAGAACCATAAACAGAACGGTTGCATGGAACATGCGTTTTG